ATATTTATATATATATAATATATATATTATATATATTATATATATATTAAAAATATATATAAATTAACCAGGTGTGGTGGTGGGTGCCTGTAGCCCAGCTACTCTGGAGGCTGAGAAAGGAGAATTGCTTGAAGGGCAGTGGGGGTGGCTGCGTGCAGTGGCTCACTCCTGGAATCCCAGCACTTTGGGAGGCTGAGGCAGGTAGATCACCTGAGGTCGGGAGTTCAAGACCAGCCTGACCAACATGGAGAAACCCCATCTGTACTGAAAATACAAAATTAGCTGAGCATGGTGACTCATGCCTGTAATCCCAGCTACTAGGGAGGCTGAGGCAGGAGAACTGCTTGAGATCGAGTGAGCCGAGATCAAACCACTTCATTCTAGCCTGGGTAATGGAGTGAGACCCCATCTCAAAAAAAAAAAAAAAAAAAAAAAACCAGCTGAAATAAACCGTGAACCTGACTTCAGTATCACAGTGGGCTTAAACAGTTATAAGTTTACTGAGAATTTTTGGAAATGGAGAGCGATTTGGTCCTTTCCTTTCTGTGCCAATGTTAACTTTAGCTTTCATTTTTTTTTTTTCCCAGCATTTCCAGAACTCTCTCTTCTTTTATTCCCTTATAGTGGTAATTATTTTCTACTCAATTTTAGATTTTGATTGATAATAACTTTGGCTTTCCTTTTGTCAGTATGGTCTAGCAGACAGAACAGGCTTTGTAATCAGACCAACCTTGTTTTTATTTATTCCAGACTCTTTGACTTACTAGCTCCTTGATCTTTTTGTTTTCTCCTTCCCGCTCCCCCACTCCCACTCACACCCCCACCCCCACACGGAGTTTAGCTTTTGTTGCTCAGCCAGGAGTGCAATGGCGCGATCTTGGCTCACAGCAACCTCTGCCTCCTGGGTTCAGGCGATTCTCCTGCCTCAGCATCCTGAGTAGCTGGGATTACAGGAGTGCACCATCATGCCCAGCTAACTTTGGAATTTTTAGTAGAGATGGGGTTTCATCGTGTTGGTCAGGCTGGTCTTGAACTCCTGACCTCAGGTGATCCACCCACCTGGCCTCCCAAAGTGCTGGGATTACAGGCTTGAGCCACTATGCCCGGCCTGATCTTTTTGATATAACTTAATTTGAAGGCTCTGGTGAGAATAAAATTGAGATAATATAGTTAACATAAAGCACTTGGTATTGTGCCTGGCACATTGTAATGCTAGATATCATTCCTTTCCTGTGCAAATTGGGATGAGGGAGTCAGCATTATCCCTTTGCATTGTTGAAGTTATCAGTAAGGACAGAGAAACATAATTACAAATGAATATTGCCTAATGGGCAGAGAATGTATCCTTTTTTTTTTTTCTTGCCTGTGTAAACAAAGAGAATGTATTCTTTTTAAATAATTCCTTTGTTTCAGTTTAATCATATGTAGCTGTGCTTTTAAGAGCTTGAATTTTTTTTTTGTGGGGGGACAAAACTCATGACTACTTCTGTGCCAAGGAGCTTGAATTTTTAGTCCTATTCCTGGCACTCTGTATTAGCTACCAATGTTTGCTTTTAAAAATTTAAAAAAAATATGAAAAGTCAAGAATAGGCAAATCCAGAGAGATAGAAAGTGGATTCGTGGTTCCCAGGAGCTGGGGAAGGAGAGTGGGGAGTGAGTAAGTACAGAGTGTCTTTTTCGTTTCTTTTTTTCTTTTAGAGATGGGGTGCAGTGGCATGATCATGCCTCACTGCATCCTCGGCCTCCTGGGCTCAAGTGATCCTCTCACCTCAGCCTTCCAAGTAGCTGGGACTATAGGTGTGTGCCACCGTGCTTGGCTAATTTGTATTTTTATTATTATTTTTTTTTTTGTAGAGATATGGGCTCTCCCTATGTTACCCAGGCTGGTCTTGAACTCGTGGGCACATCCCCAGTCTCCCAAAGTGCTGGGATTACATGTGTGAGCCATTGCACTTGGCCAATGAAATGTTCTGAAATTTGATAGTGGTGATGATGGCACAACATTGTGATTACACTAAGAAACATTGAATTATGTATAAACTTTAAAATGGTTAACATAGGCCAGGTACAGTGGCTCACGCCTGTAATCCCAGCACTTCGGGAGAGGCAGGTAGATCACAAGGTCAGGAGTTCAAGACCAGCCTGGCCAAGATAGTGAAACTCCGTCTCTATCAAAAATACAAAAAAAAAAAAAAAAAAAAAAAATTAGCTGGGTACAGTGGTTGGTGCCTGTAATCCCAGCTACTCAGGAGGCTGAAGCAGAGAATCGCTTGAACTAGAGAGGTGGAGATTGTAGTGAGCTGAGATTGCACCACTGCCCTCCAACCTGGGCGATAGAGCGAGACTCCCTCTCAAAAAAATCAAAAAGGAAAAAAAAGAAATACATCTTTTATACTCATTTTGCAATTATGCATTCCTTCTGTTTCTTTTGCTCTGCTATGGTAACCAACTTTAAATTTAAAGCCTCTCCTTCTGGCCGGGTGCAGTGGCTCACGCTTGTAATCCCAGAACTTTGGGAGGCCGAGGTAGGCGGATCACCTGAGGTCAGGAGTTCGAGACCAGCCTGACCAACATGAAGAAACCCCGTCTCTACTAAAAATACAAAATTAGCCAGGTGTGGTGACTCATGCCTGTAGTCCCAGCTACTCAGGAGGCTGAGGCAGGAGAATTGCTTGAACCTGGGAGTCGGAGGTTGCGGTGAGCCATGATTGCACCATTGCACTACAGCCTGGGCAAAAAAAGCGAACTGTCTCAAAAAAAAAAAAAAAAAAAGCCTCTCCTAACTCCCATAATCCTGTTTTGTTTTGTTTAAATATACCATTGGTTTCTTATTGTTTTTGTGAAACATCTTCATTGTCCGTATCATCTTTCAACTAAATTGTAAGCTGTCTGGTACAGTGGCTCACTCCTTTAATCCCAGCTATGCTCGAGGCTGAGGTGGGAGGATTGCTCAAGGCCAGGAGTTCAAGACTAGCCTGGACAACATAATGAGATCCTCATCCCTATAAAAAATTAAATGAAATAAAAATTAGCTTGGCAGGGTGGTGCGCACCTGTAGTCCTAGCTACTCAGGAGACTGAGGTGGGAACTTTGCTTGAGCCCAGGAATTTCTGGTGGCAGTGAGCTATGATTGTGGTACTGCATTCCAGCCTGGGCTACAGAATGAGACTGTCTCTTAAAAAAAAAAAAATTATGAACCATCTTACTGGAAATTGTATCTTGATAGTTTTAAGACAACTTGAATCAACTACATTATCTCGAGTTTTAGTTCCTCTTCTAAAAGGACTGTTACTTAAATTACACCAATTCCTCACTTTGTTTATTGTCATTTTGTAGAATGGAGGCAAGGGAAAAGTGATTCAGAGAAGACATTGTATTGTTTCTGATTACTTTTACCTTTATTTTTGAAGCATAAATGGTATCAACAGTGCTGAGTTAAATGCAATTTCTTTTTAGTTTAAAGTTTACAGTGGTTAGTGATCCTCTGGATGAAGAAGAGAAAGAATGTGAAGAAGTAGGATACGCATATCTTAAACTGTGGCAGATCCTGGAGTCAAGAAAAGATATTCTAGAGCAAGAACTGGACAGTGAGTAACTTTTTTTTTTTTTAATGTTCAGTTCTAATTATTTCTAAGGAAATCATCCTAATAATGAATTACATTTTACCTTCAATACATAATTATCACTATGAAGTTGATGAGACACAAACTGGATTTAAATCTTATCCCTACAACTGGATTTATTTCTGGATCCAGCACTAAAGTAGTCAGTTTTGTATTTTAGCCCCCATATACCTGATTACAACTAGAATTGATTTTGAATCTACCATGTTGAAAAAGGGGATTTTAAAAAAGATAAGTTCTTGGCTCGGCACAGTGGCTCATGCCTGTAGTCCCAGCACTTTGGGAGGCCAAGGTAGATGGATCACCTGAGGTTGGGAGTTTGAGAACAGCTTGAAGAAACCCCGTCTCTACTAAAAATACAAAATTAGCCAGGCATGGTGGCATATGCTTGTAATCCCAGCTATTCCAGAGGCTGAGGCAGCAGAATTGCTTAAACCTGAGAGGTGGAAGTTGCAGTGAGCTGAGATTGTGCCACTGCGCTCCAGCCTGGGCAACAAAAGTGAAACTCCATCTCAAGAAGAAAAGGGATAAGTTCTTTTCATTTCAAATTTATATATCAGAATTTTGGATCTCTCTTGAACATGTTGATATAGGCAGCTGACGCCCATTCTTTGTGTCATCATGCACTCAGTCTTTTTTTTTTTTTTGAGATGGAGTCTGTTGCTCAGGCTGGAGTACAGTGGCACAATCTCAGCTCACTGCAACCTCTGCCTCCCAGGTTCAAGCAATTCTCATGCCTCAGTCTCTTGTGTAGCTGGGATTACAGGCATGTGCCACCACGACTGGCTAATTTTGTATTTTTGGTAGAGACGGGGTTTCTCCATGTTGGTCAGGTTGGTCTTGAAGTCCTGACCTCAGGTGATCCTCCTGCCTTGGCCTCCCAAAGTGCTAGGATTACAGGTGAGAGCCACTGGGCCTGGCTTTGCCTGTATTTCACTACCTCCTGCAATTTCCCTCCAGTAAGACTGTTTCCATTCTACTTTACGGAATTCTTTTTTTTTTTTTTTTTTTATGGCGGGGTTTCAACATGTTGGTCAGGCTGGTCTTGAATTCCTGACCTCAGGTGATCCGCCCACCTTGGCCTCCAAAGTGCTTGGATTACAGGTGTGAGCCACCACCACGCCCGGCCTACTTTACGGAATTCTTATCAGTTTTCCTAATTGCCAAATCTCATGACTGTCTTCAAATTTTTTTTTTTTTTTTTTTTTTTTGAGACGGAGTTTCGCTCTTGTTACCCAGGCTGGAGTGCAATGGCGCGATCTCGGCTCACCGCAACCTCCGCCTCCTGGGTTCAGGCAATTCTCCTGCCTCAGCCTCCTGAGTGGCTGGGATTACAGACACGTGCCACCATGCCCAGCTAAATTTTTTGTAGTTTTAGTAGAGACGGGGTTTCACCATGTTGACCAGGATGGTCTCGATCTCTTGACCTTGTGATCCACCCGCCTCGGCCTCCCAAAGTGCTGGGATTACAGGCTTGAGCCACCGCGCCCGGCCTCAAATTTTTTTATATCTTTGAGCGTCTCGATGTTTCCCAAGCTGGGGTGCAGTCTTTTGATCTCGGCTCACTGCAGCCTCGCCTCCCAGGTTCAAGCAATTCTCCCAGTCTCAGCCTCTCAAGTATCTGGAATTACAGGCATGTGCCACCATACCCAGCTAATTTTTGTGTTTTTCAGTAGAAACTGGGTTTCACCGTGTTGGCCAGGCTGGTCGAACTCCTGAAGTCAGTTATCTGCCTGCCTCAGCCTCCCAAAGTGGTGGGATTTGTACAGGCATAAGCCACTGCACCTGGTTAGAAATTTTGACTATCACTCTCTGGGTGTTCTGTTTCCTTTGTAGGTTTCTTTCTTGTCTGTTCTTCAAATTTTGGATTGTCATCATTGAATTCTTTTTTCTCTATATATACCTTCTTCCTGATTATATCCACTGAGTTTTGTAGTCTAGAAATAATCTCAAATCTAGGTTTCTAGACCAGATTCTAAATACAATCTAGACTTAGCGCAGACTAGATGTCACTACTTGTATTTCCTATGTCCCCTTGGTACCTCAAAATCCCTTGATTACAACTTTGTACCTTGTATTCCCTCTTACCCAACTATTTTGTTATCCAAATTAGAATGGCTATCCTTGATTCCAAGCTATTCCTCACTCCAATCACAAAAACTGTTTACACTTCTTAAATGTTTTGAATCTGTCCCCACCTCTCCATTATACTTCAGACTTTCATCCATTACTCCCCTTCCCCTGAATTACTGCAATATCCTAACTACTCTCCCTGGTTTAACTTGTGTCCTCTTTGACTGTATTATCCAAACAGTAGTCATTTTTCAAGCCCTCCACATAAGAACAATCACTTCTGGTATTTTCAGTTGAAATCACCATTCCCAGACAAGGCTGTTATGTGGCCTGTACAGGCTCATTCCTGCCACTCCTTGCAGTTTTCCAAACACATTCTCGTATCTTGATAGATTAAGTGTCTTTTACTTTCTAAACGCTTAGCTCATGAATTATCTTCAGAAATCCTTTTCCAATTTGTCCATTCTGGTGTAGGTTTACCTTGTGCTTTATTACAGCACCTACACACACTGTTGCAATGACCCCTTTTTCCTCCACTATTCATTCATTTAGTATCTCCAGTACTTAACCTGACAAATATCCCAAAGTGTTTAACTGAGTGATACTGCTGCCTGACATTCCCCCCACCCTACCTTTTCCAACAGTTGTTAACCCTGAAGATCTGGCCACCCCAATAGGAAGGCTGAAGGTTTCCCTTCAAGCAGCTGCTGCCCTCCATGCTATTTACAAGGAGATGACTGAAGATTTGTTTTCATGAAGAAACAAGTGCTATTCAGATCTCTGAGGGAACCATAGTAAAGTCTCATAAAGTAACTTGCTACAACATGAATTTGTTTTACTGTGATGTCTAGTATCTTTCAACCTAATGATAAAAGTTCAGAATGGTCAAAGTTTCTTTTGTGTCGCTAGCTAGCTAAAGGCATTTTTCTTTAATGCCTTAGCACTTTACCAGGCAAGAAGCAGGCTTGCTTTCAGGAGATGAAAAAGAATGATCACAAAAGGTGAATTTACAAAAACAAACAACAACAACAAAAAAAACCCAGTTTATTCATCTTTTAGTTCTTCCAAAATTGAAAATATCAAGTCCTACTGCTAAGGAGAAAAAAACAAACATAAAATCCGGGACCCCTCCCCACTTCTTCTCTTAAAGTCAGAGCATGGAAGGAACTGCAGTGGGACAGGTGGGTGCAGAGAACCAGAAGGGGAGGATGGCAAGATAAACTCCCCAAATACTTGAAAAGCTGTTCAACAGAAACTGTGACAATGCAAGACAAGTTAAAATAAGGAGCGGCAGTGCTGAGAGGCTGTGTTGTAGATATGGCCTCCCTTCCTCTTCTCTTTTCTCATCAGGGTATTCTAGGCCCAAGGCATGATTTGCCCCTTCCAGATCTAAATGTTGACTCCTTTGAGCTTTCCTCTAGATTTCACTAGACGCAGTATATGAGGAACAACCATTCTTCCTTATATATAACAAAAAAAAGACAGTGGTAATTTTGCCTTCTATCATTGTACCATGTGTGCATTTGTATGGAGAAAATAACCAAGCCAGGGAGTATCACTGCATCTTTCTTATGTCTTCGAGGCAGCAGAAATACCTCAGAATCTGCATGAGGTAAGAAAGCAGAAAAACTCGGATGAAGGCACCAGCCCAGTCTGCCTCACTAGCTCAAGTTGTATGGATTATCGCAAATGTCAGCAAATTTCCAAGAATCTTGAGTATTGCAAAGATAAAACTTAGAGATGTGAGGAAGGTCATGGCAGAAGGGTAAGATGGAAGATTCAATGTGCTGGTCAAGAACCATGATACAAGTAATTAAGAGTCACCTCGTACCACTGTCTTGGAAATACAGCTTTGAGACACCACATAAGATGTCAAAAGCCATCGCAGTCCTGGCAGAAGGTGACAGGAAGAGAGAAGAATGAAACAATATTTATTAACAGCGGGATCCTCCTCCTGTCTTCAAGAACACCTCTTCCCTTGCCATCTGAATGGGGCCACTGGCACGTGTCCTGGTGGGCCTGGAATTCCCCGAGTAGATTGGTCCACACAAATGGCCCCCTAAACCCATAAACACAAATGGCAAAACTTCAAATGAAAACAAAAGGAAAAATACAGTTTCTATGTCATGTAAAATTTTCAGGGGTTGACTGGAGGAAGAATGGAGCACAGGGCCAAAGTTCAGAAGTTACTTCCTCTTTTTCTTGGGGGGTGCAGAGCTGTGTCTGGAACCACGGTTAGAGCCACGGCCCGAACTGTGCACAGATGCCTTCCTCTTCCGGCTCATACTTCGACTCTGTTCTTCTTCTTCCTCGTAACGACTTTCTCGGTCCGCTAAATAGAAGAGGGATTATTAGTTAGCGATACGTAAACTTTAGGTACCTAATGTTACTGGATAACATGAGATAACAGAATATATTTTGGAATTAGACTCAAGTTTTAATCTTTATTAAGTCACTAGTTGTGATCTTGGGCAAATACTTTCTAAGCCCTGGTTTATTTACAAAAGGAAGAATTATTTAAGGGTTAAATAAAAACCTATGAGAAGTACCTATTCCCAGTGCTTGGAGCACAGCAAATATTTTCTTTCTAGCTTTAAACTTTTGTTTGGGGTTTGGTTTCAAAGTACTAGATTAGCATTATAAAGACATTCCTAACCTGGAAGAAGCCTAGAAAATGAAAGGATTTAGGTTTGTAAACTGAGTAAGCTAATTCTTGAGTCTTACATGACTACGTGGCTATCAAGGCTATAGGCAAGATGGGGGCTTGGGCAGATGAAAACAGCAGTTAGGCTGAGCACTACCCACTGGGGAGTATGGACAAATTCCAGACCTCATTTTCTCCTTCAAAGTTGTATCTGTGGCTCGAGATCAGTTTTATAGTATTCTTTTGTTACTCTCATTAGGCCATCAATACTAACCCCTCAAAATACTGAAATGTGTTAGAAATTTGTGTGTAGACAAACAGAATAAAAACAGATTTTTGAACACCTTTTCGGGCTTCTTCCTCCAGTTCATCCCAATCCTTTCCACTCTCTTCTTCACTACCCAATGATTCCTTAGAATAGTCTGGAAGAAAATTGATTAAGCATTAGTCATCATCCAGGAATGAAATGGAATGACAGAGTTCTCTTAGTCTAAAAAAAAGTAGTTTTCAGAAATGATATATTAAGATGCCAGGATGAACTTTTCTTTATAAGACTAACCTGACTCTTCTGCTTCTGATGAATAATCTTCATCACTGTCCTCCTCTTCCTCTTCATAATCATCTTCTGAAGGATTAAAAGTCTCATCTTCAATTTCAGACTCTGAATCCCCTTCCTCAGCATCACTCCCCTGGTGAGTCAGGGCATAATATACATATTTACCTTATTAACTTGATGAATTAATTCAGCCCACACAGTATACCAGCATTTACATGAAGGAAACAGCACAAAACTGAGTGATCAAGAGACAAAATGACTTGTTTAAAATCAGTGGTCAGGTACAATTATTTTACTATTTTATTTCTGAAAAATTCACTTTAGCTTCCCTTACCTAGGGAAATTAACAACAAAGACTTTCTGTATTAATGTATCACACAGACGTCAAGTGGACCATTTTTTAGAAAATAATTTTTGTAAAATGTCCAGAAGAACTTTTTCCCTAAATACTAAGAAATTGAAAAGTTTTTGTAGTTTCAATAAAATCTTGTCAGGAGCTACCACTGCATAATCAATTTATCATTTACCTGTAAAACTAATTTGAAGAAACAATATCAAGTTGTGTTCAGAACCTCTCCCAGATGGCCTAGCCCCTTATGTGCTATTTATATGCCATTCTAACTGACCAAATGATAGTGAGCAACACTATGTACCAGAAAAGAAACCCCACACTCACGCACCTCACCCTCAGGCTCCAGAAAAGACCAGCCACCTTGTTCAAAGAAGCCCTCGGGATCATCAACAATGGTCTTCATGATTTTAGTCCAGTTGAGGGACTGTACTCCTTCTGTGTACTTCAGGTCGCAGGAACTAAGAGAAATGACATGACAAATCAATCTTCCGTATTTTCTGTATTCAAACATCTGGGAGCAGATTTTTTTTTTTTTTTGACACAGTGTCTTGCTCTGTCACCCAGGCTGGAGAGCAGTGGTACAATCTTGGCTCACTGCAACCTCTGCCTCCTAGGTTCAAGTGATTATCCTGCCTCAGCCTCCTGAGCACCTGGGATTACAGGTACATGCCACCATACCTGGCTAATTTTTGTATTTTTAGTAGAGACAGGGTTTTGCCATGTTTGTGGGGCTGGTCTAGAACTTCTCACTTCAGGTGACCCACATGCCTCAGCCTCCCAAAGCGCTGGGATTACAAGTGTGAGCCACCGTGCCCAGCCTGGAAGCAGATATTCTTTGTACTATGCCACCAGAGCTGCTCTTTGATCTCCTAGAGCACTTGCCCTCACAACAGACCAGCATTCCAACTGAAGCAAGCTTTGTCCTTCACCCAAGTCAGAGCTTATCCTCTCCCATTTTCTTCCTTAAACACCAACTTCCCTACTCTTCACTTAGTCTTCTCTCCTATTCACCCATGCTTTTCCCTCTGTCACTGATTCCATTCTTATTTCCCAGTAGTCGTAACTCATGACCGCTTCTGTGATTCTATTTTTCACTACTATAGTTAAGAAATATGGACAATTTCCAGCTGAGTGTGGTGACTCACGCCTGTAACCCCAGCACTTTGGGAGGTCGAGGTGGGTAGATCACGAGGTCAGGAGATCGAGACCATCCTGGCTAACACGGTGAAATCCCATCTCTACTAAAAATACAAAAAATTAGCCGGGTGTGGTGGCATGGGCCTGTAGTCCCAGCTACTCAGAAGGCTGAGGCAGGAGAATCACTTGAACCCGGGAGGCACAGGTTGCAGTGAGCCGAGATTGCACCACTGCACTCCAGGCCAGATGACAGAGCAAGACTCCATCTCAAAAAAAAAAAAAACAATTTTCAATGGCTCTTGCCTTCCTTCAACCTTCCACTGCTTTCCTATGTGTTGTTTACTTGATGCAATATCTATATGAAGGTAGGAATGACTTTTTTTCCCAGTACCTAAAGTGCCCTGTATTTAGAAAACGCTCAAATGACTTTCTCTTAATTAACTTCTGCTGAGGACAGGTGAATCAGAGTGGGTGAAGAAGAAGAAAAAACTGGCGTGGTGGCACTATTGTCACTAAAGAAATGACAGTAGTAAGGATAACAACAATCAACCATAAAACTGCCTGAGATCACCACTGGCAAAAATCCACTTTAGACAACATACATGGAAACTTCTGCTTCTAGTCATGATGGAGTAACAACAACTAGGTTTACCTTACCACCTTAAACAACTACAAAACAAAATACGAAACAACAGTTTTCAAACACTGGATACCAAGCAGCACAAGACCATAACTCCTGAAAGAAGGAAACAAACTTGCTTGAACCCAGGAGGGGGAGGTTGCAGACTGCAGAGGTTGTAATGAGCCAAGATTGCGTCACTGCACTCCAGCCTGGTGACAGAGTGAGACTCTTTCTCCAAAAAAAAAAAAAAAAGCTATTGTAAATATGCTCCACATTGGCTGGGTGCAATGGCTCATGCCTGTAATCTCAGTACACTGGGAGGCCGAGGTGGAAGGATTACTTGAACCAAGGAGTTTGAGACCAGCCTGGGTAACAATGATAATTTAAAAAAACCTTAGATTTTTATTTTAAGGGTACATAAACTATTTTTGGGAATCAGGAAAAAGTGAACAGCTCCATTATCTAATAGATCTCAAGTTTTCAAGTCTTGGTCTATAACAAATAAAAGGCAGTCTCACCTTAAGTGTATCTATAGATTTTAATGCACAACATACCACACTTGAATTCTATAATACAGGGTTCATGGGATAAATAGGAGACTGATGGCCAATTTACTTACTTCAACCATTCCTTGATGGGGTCAAGAGAGGCTACAGGAATGGCATTGATCATAGTCACTTTCTTGCTGTAATCCTTGTAGACAATTACCATATCAAAGTTCTTCAGGTGAAACTGGACCCGCTCAAAGTGAATCAGCTCCACTTCATCCAACGTCACCACAAAAGGTGGCTGTCAGAAAGAAACGGAATCATTAGCATATAAATATTTCCTCCAAAGCAATATTTCAAGTAACTTTCATGATCTAAATCATTATACAAAAGACAACTAAGCTGTTTTATGGGCTTTATTGAAAGACTGAAGCAGTATAATATACTAAGAATCCACAGTATTAGGATCTACAAGATCAAAATCATCCTTCAAGGAGAAGAAATTCGAGGAAACTATGTGAATTATTTAAAAGAAACTATTTAAAAAGACATTATCCAAAAAAAAAAAAAAGTTCTTGTTGTGTTGCCCAGACTGGTTTTGAACTCCTGGCCTCAACTGTTCCTCCCACCTTGGCCTCTCAAAGTGCTGGGATTATAGGTGTGAGCCATCA